ATATATATTGAAAAAAACACCTCCAATAATGATCTCCAAGTTGTATTAGGACAGTAATAGAGACCTGAGAAAACTGAAAAGCCTAGTGCCAGTGATGAATATATACTGAAAATAGAACGAAAAAATAAAGATTGTGCAGGCTGCAGTTTGTTTGGTTACTATTGTTTTGTGGTGTTTTTTTTTTATTCTTTTTTTTAAATTACTTTGTGGGGGAGGGAGAACAAACTATTACTAAGATCTGTGAACTTGTGATGTCCAAATTTACTGTCTTAACTTGGCATCCTGTCTAACTTCTAAAGAAAATTAAGTTACCTTGTGCCCTGCTTCATAGAAACACATAAGAAAAACAAAAAAAGTTGATTCAATATTCTATTCTCAATCCAGCTGCAACTGAATTAGAACAGGGAGAATGCCTTCTAAGTAAATAACATTTGATTCTTTGATTTTAACCTCGATTTACTTCCTAACTATAGATAATGATCAAATCCTTTGCCAAATATCCAATTTTTTTCTCTATCCTTCTCAATATGTTTTGTAAGTATCTTTATGATGGAGAACTCCTAAAGTATTTATCAACACTTACTGAACAAAATTTGGCACTATTAGGAAACCCCTTATGTTGGAAATTCTTTTTTTAATCTCAGTGAAAATATCACTTCTGAGCACGATTCGTCAGCAGAGTTTAGAGTACATACACATACAAAATAGATCATATAGCCTAAACGTGCATTGGTATAATATGGCTGCTGTTCTTTATGGTAGTTAATAACCTCAAAGACATTTTTCATCTTTTCATCACTTTGCTGCATTCAACACTTACCTCTTCTCTCTTCTCAAACTGAGCAGAAGTTGCCAATACAGAGACAATCTTTCCCTAGTGTGGCTACTGTATCTGGAACACTGATGGTCAACACTTTAACTAGAATTCCTAGGCATGGCCCCAGAACAAAATAATTACTAATCACCTGTAAAATCTTCTGAGGTATTCTTGCAAGTTCTTTATATATATATATATAATTTATCACATGTACACACATTTCTTTTTTTTTTCCTTAGTTCTCAAATTAATCACTGTTGCTTCTAACACCTTTAATGACATTCTAGCTCAGAAGCAATCGTGCATCTGAAGCACTGTCTATTTAAAATACTTGAAATGCAAACTAGATGTGACATTTGTTCATCCAGTTTTCAGTTTCACAAAGAAGGTTAGCAGAATCACAGCGTTGTATAGGCCATGGTTAAAATTATTAATGGGAAAAAAAACCTTCCCCAATAAAGAGCATTGTCCAGAAATAGACGGTAGCCTGTGATAGATGTATAATTAGAGAAATTGGTGGCTTTGCCCATCAGAATGGGTGTTCTACAGAAAATCCTATTTTCTTCATTCTCCTTTTCAAGGTTATTGTAAATGTAATCATAGCATGATGACAGTCCTTACATAGAACACATCAGTTGTGGGGGTTTTTTTGTTGTTCGTTCCCATATCAGTGTTAATTGAACTCATTGAACAAATTAGTAAAGGAATCCACCATTCAGATCTTATCAGACCAAGTGACTTGCAAGTCAGAAACCATATGGGGAGGCCAGAAGGCCAAATTTTACACCTCACAGGCATATTATGTAATGGTTCTTTCTACTCATAAATGTAAACCATTAGCTACTTTATTTTTCCTAGCTAAAAACAGAAGATTTGCCTAACAAAATGACGTATGATATTGAAAGTCCAAGTTATAAAGGAGTTTGATTACCAGTTTCCCCATGAAAGAAAATTTATACTGGTTCTAATGTAATACAGCAAAAAGCGTCAAATAAATTTATCATAAATTTCTAAAAGTAATTCTGAAAAGATTCTGGCTCTCACTGCTGGGCTACATAACAGTTCCTTTACCCGCCCCTGTTAGTGAAGTACAACAGGGAACTAACATATGTGTAACATAAGAAAGGAAGCAATCACTCTGAAAAAGACTTATGTATGGTAGCAAACAACAAATTAGGTATGGGTTTCCATAGTGACTAAGTAACAAAAGGCTGCTGCAGTTTTCAGCTGTCTATACTCAGAGAGCAACAAAGCAAAGGGACCAGAATCTCTTCTCTGTAAGCAGGCATGATAGTGAACTCAGAATTGACTGTTAAATGCCAGTTCCATATTATGAAGAAAATATTGCAGAAACAGGAATAATTATAAAAGAAGTTCTGCAAGAAGTAAAATCGTTAAGTGCTAAGGATTTGGATTTCGTGGTTGGATTCTCTGCTATCTTACCTATGCAAATTCCAATGAGTACTTTTTCCTGTGCAGAGAATCCTCCTCTGTGGATTCTCTGATGTTCAATAAGAAATGATCTCATACTACAGCCTTTCTCCCAATGGGAACACTAATGGGGTCTTTTGCCCATCTGGCTGTTTACTTTCCTGAAATCTACAGGAATTCTTGTCTAGTAGGGTTGAAACTGGCTAAGAGTTAAAAAGCTATTGAGAGAGAAGGGAGTGGAGAAAGATCATTAACCACACAAAAATCTGGGCTAGCAAGTGTAACTGTGACTGTGTGATCATATAAGACTTGTTTCCCTAGGAAACTAGGATAATTATCAAAGGGTTGGAGAGATTCACTTATGAAAGCCCAAAGGTCCCCAAGCAGAAAAATACTTTAAGCTGAGGTGATCTGTCAGATACAGGACAGAAAGAACCAAACATGATAGCTAGGATATGAGATAAATGCTGAGAATGTGATAAACAAATGTACATGTTAGTCAAAGATGAAGAGGATTTTTTGTATCAGGAGAAGTTACTAAGCAGAATTACAACCAAGAATGAAGAGATTAAATAGAGAAAAGTTTGAGACTAAATATCAAGCAATGGTATTAGTGAGAGGAATCCATGGAAAGGTTTCCAAATACAAGTGGTGAAAGATCCATGGCTTAAGACAAAACTTGCACTATAAAAAGCAGAACAACACATGGACAGTGAGATTGACAAGAATATCTCCAAGGTTTCTCCTCATATGTCTCTCTAGATTCATAATACACCACAGTGCACTAAACATACTGTAAAAATCACTACTTTCTTGTAGTTGAACTGGAAAATAAATGAAAAATACAGTGTTTGTATCATTCTTGCCTTTCTACCTTGCCTTTTTCATTCACTTTTTATCAGTTTGCCACTGTTAGATGTCAACATCTGATGCAACAGAAGATGTAATGGATGATTGCTAAGCCAGATAGTGAAAGGAAGTTGCTTGTTTTCTCATGATAAATTTGAAATAAATTTCATTTTGAATAAAAGCTTTGGTGTGAAATATTAAGCAAGGCTGAAGAGATTCTTACCGCATAAAAATTCTCTTTTATTTTAAATCTAAGTAAACAAGTTAAGATTTTTAAACTATGAAAAGGAACAGTAAGAAGGAAACTGAATCTACATAATATGAAAAAATTAGTAAATTTAGTAACCTCATCTAAATGGCTGAGACCAGACCTGAAATGTGTTAACACAAAGATCTGTCTATCTACCACATTATCTATATGTTACAGCAACACTAAGTATAATTTATACAGACAATTACTTACACAGAGTTAAGATATGTGCTTCTGCCAGTAAAGAGATAGAAGTTACTTGCACATTAGTACAACAGTTCTAAGCGCTCTGGCATAGGATGGTTTTTGTTATTTTACAGCAATAAAAATAATCAAAATGTACAAACCAGGTTACACAGAACATTTGAAATAGCAATTTCTAGAATTCATTTAATATAGCTGAGATGCAATGACTAATACTGCCCATGTCTGCTAGCACAAAGACCTAAATAAGGTTCCAGACTAGATTACGTTCATACAGGTCTCATTTCAACGGAAATTGGAGAGATGAAAAAAAGATTATAGGAAGACACATTATAAAAACAGACCTCACAAGTCAAACTTAATAGTGAAACCGTTCTCTTTCATGTAGACAACCATGAAAACAAATATCCTGTAAGCACTAGATATATATCGTATCTTTCTACCAGATCTCTTTGCCTCCTTGAGACAGATTCTCATTCATCTCATGACTATGTAATTTGATCATAGTTGACTAAGGCACAGCAGGGGAAAGGGCCTGTCTGATAAACTATCAGGCAGATAAGCAAACATTTCAATTGATAAACAAACAATTTCATGATTTCTAGTTGTAACAGGAATAGTACAGCAGCGGATATAAAGAGCCTCATAGGAATACAAGTATCAAGATTCTCCAGTTTTTCTCTAAGTATGGGTTTTTCACCCCATTAGGTGAAAAATCAGTCTGATTGTGATAAACAATAAAATACCAGAATAAGACGCGAGGAACAAGTGGAAAGTGGAAATAAATCTTTGTTGACTTGTCAGTGTGAAAATAAAGACTTTTTTTATTTTCATTTGTTTTAAAGTAACAAAAATACTTACTTGCTCCAGATGTTCATCGTGTTTTTGTTGTCCTGGTTTCATTTTTTAATGAAAATATATGTTATTTAAAAGTAGATGAAGGAGTTTCCTATCAAGTTCTTTCACATTTGAAGATAAACGCTTTCCACAGGGCCCACATAAAAAGACTACCTCTCTTCTGTTACAGGACACAACAGTAATATCTGTTTGGAATGCTAGCTCATTGTTCTAGATGTTTTAAATGAAGGCTTGAGTGCTAAGACTTGAACGCATATGATGGACCTGGTTTTCATACATAGATCAGATGAACGTTTATGTATTAGTATACATCAGCCATTATTAATACAAATAATATTAGGTGGCAATTCTTATGCTGTCTTTGTAATGATTACCTTTTTTAGACAGCAGAAAAAACAGTGATGTCCAGGCAGGATGCTAATTGCTTTTACTTATCAAAATTCAAAGGACAGAAACATATTTTACAACTAATTGATAGTTACAAGCTCTGGACAGCATCTTTTCTTTTTTTTTTTTGGAAAGAAAATATAAGATATTCTGGGGTAAGCAATGTTTAAAGCTGTCATACTATTTAAATTAGTATGTGCTTACCTGTGATTCTTTTACATTTTCAACAGTAAAGTTGAACCAAACTCGAAAGCGTGGGTTACAGGTATCTGGTCTGATGAAAAGGTCGTACTCAAATTCTGTGATGTAGTCCACTCTTCCAAGGTTACCTATAAAAAGCATTTGAAAAATAATGCATTTTTACAATGGATTTTAATAAATGGATAAGAACAAGAACTACAAACAGAAAAGTTTTAAAAAAATTAACTTTGATGTTTAAAACGTATATCGCATATGTAATGAACTTTACAATAGAACAAGATTATTTTTAAATGACTGAATTATGGTCGCAGAGTAAAATAAAATAAAGTAGTTTATTCCCACAAAATTCAACAGCTACAAAGAGCAAAATAACTATTTGATAGAGCAAATTCTCAACTACAAAACAGTACTTTTCTATCTAGTCTCCAACAAAAATGAACAAGAACTGCATTCTATGTTTGTGAAAATCTGTGTGACCATCCACAACGTGGCTTGTATTCCATGTTGCTGTAGCCACTGCTGAAGCGCACCACCCACCACCTCACTGCACTCACAGCTATGGGTTTCCACAAGTGTCAACAAAAAAGTTTCAGCAAGTGTCAACAAATTTCAGTGGGTCCATTTTTTCCTCACAGAGGAACTCAGTGACACCCCTTGCCTGCTATGCACTCCCGTGTCAGACGCCATTTTGTCAGGCTGCCCCTCCACTGCCATCTGCCACATGGCAACAAAACATAAAGGAATATCAGTGAGCAGGCTCAACCCCTTCTGCCATACCACCAACATTTACTTCTGATGTCATGGGCCAACACAATAAATTACGAGGCATTACTTTCAGAGCAACCTCACACATACCAGTAAACAAAATACACCTGAATACACCAAAAAGACAACTGCAAAGGCTTTTATTATTCAAATTGACTTCTTCTTTGATTCTTTCAGTTAACAAAAATGATAGTAGGATGTTTATATTCACTTTATTTTCCCACTTTGTGGGAAAAATATCTCTAAATTTCTTTCAGGTCCCTTGTGCATGGATTTCTTTCCTTCCATTTGCTGCTCATGTTAGAGCACCTCTGAAAGCCTCAGACTTCCACCTGGCACCTCTGGCTGTCCCACTCTTCCCTCAGATGGCAAGGACTTTACATTTTCCATGATTCAAAAGCCATCTTAATACTTCTTTACAAGGTGGGAACAGTATCACCTCCTTCCACAAAAAGAATGAGGCTACAACCCTTCATCTTTTCCCTGATGAATTTAATGGAATAAAAACTTTAAATGTAGTCAAGCCAAATTGCCCCCACAGCATTATTCAGCAAGCAACATACAGTCTATAGAAGTGAAATTCAGCACTCAAAAAACTTGCTAAGTTCTTTTAAATTGCAAAATTGGCATTTTTCCTTTGAAGTGTTCTAGGATACCTAATACAGGGTTTAGACTGTCTGCTTCACAGGGAACTACAAAAACACTAATTCAGAAACAAGACTTCACATTTTCCTCATCCAAAACAAATATCATCCTATCACACCTTATAATTTGAACTTCGCTGTCTTACAGTTTATGCCCATAAAACAAACTAGCACTTTAAGATGACTCGATCTGTTTCTGTGATTTCAGATATATTTGTTGATTTAAATATATATTCCCAAGTTGGATATATGCTGTTCAAATAGTTACTTATAACATCATTGAAAATAAACAACTTCCTCCTCAGCAAGTCTCACCTCAGTCAATATAGCTGATCATCAGTAACAAGCTACTAAACATCAGTAGAAGTAGGAAAATTTGGATCATCAGCTGCTTTGGGGTGAAGCAGTAAATAACATTCAAATCTGTTCACCAATACATTTGCAGAATTTCTTCATTAAATTGTTACTGGCTTTACCAGATGAACAGCGAGCACTTTCAACTTTTCCTATTTTTAATGTTATCGTCTACTTTCCTGCCCACAGCCTCCTTTTCAGAGGAAGATTCTTCTCACCGATTCCCACTTCAGAAAACCTCTTCATGCTAACAATCTGTTCCTAACCACTTGCCTGAAGGATACATTCGGAATTAGAAATTTTGGGGAGGGGGGGAGAGAGGAGAAAAGCTATGCTGTGCAACAAGAATCTCTTTTGCAAACACATATAACATCACCTGCTGTGCAGGGACTGTGGTGAGGAGATGCTGGGCCTGCTCCCGTGGCCCCTCCTCGGCATATGGCCAGGCCTCTCAGCAATGCTGGGGGTGAAGGAGTGCTCAAGGGGCAAAACATGGCACATACTCTGAGGGAACAGATAAGGAGCAGCCCTGCAAGCACCACAGCCAGGGGAGGAGGCAGCGATCGGTGCTCCAGGTGCCGAGGGCCAGACAACCTGCAGCCCATGCAGGGAGCACACTGGAGCAGGGGGCTGCTTCCTGAAGGCCCTGCTGCCTGGACAGGATGCTCTCCAGATCAGGGAAATGTGCGAGGATAACAACAGAGCACAGAGGGGCTGTTGGAAAGCGAGAACTTGCCCTTCTCTGTGCCCCTGTGCCACACACTGTGGGGGCAGGAATGAAGGATCCTGGGAAAGAGGGAGGGCTGGGGAAAGGTGGCACTTAATTTGTCTCTCACTCACTATCCAACCCTATTTTAATTCGCAATAAATTTAAAAGTTTTCTCCTCATCGACTCTGTTTTGCCTTTGATGGTAATTGCTAGCTGACCTCCCTGTCCTCATCTCAGGCCATGAGATTTTTTCCATCTTATTTTCTTCCCCTCCTGTTGAGGAAGGGCAGTGAGAGTACAGCTGGGTGGTCCGAGCTGTGCAGAAGCATAGGTTGGATTCCAGTTACCTCACATAGGGTCACAGGGAAACAAGAATAGGAACAGGCCACTCTTCAGGTCACGGGTCACAAGCCCTCTCTGGACATAGCTTAATGCATAGGCACCCAGAGTCATGGCAACTCAAGTGGTCTGTGCAGTGCTGATGGATCCTCTAACATGAAGGCAGAAGGCTGCATGAATACAGGCTTCATTCACAGAATAGAATCCTGCTTATAAACTACGAGGTGTAAAAGCCTCCAATGATCACAATTAACCCCCCACGCAGTGCAAGTTACCTGCAGCACAAAACAGCAGACAAAATCTGATGGAAAGATTTCCAAATAAAATTTAAGTCTGAATGTTTTTACTTAAGTTCAAAGACCATCAAGAACTTCAACTGCAAGCCATGGAAAACTAAAAGATTGAGTGAATAAATAAAAAACAGAGCAAAAGGAGATCTTGATTTCTGACCTATCACACATCTCAGCTTCTGTTTTAATATCAAACTGATCTAAACCGTTCCAGGGACAGGTTGCTCAATCAGAGCTACATTTTTGAATAAGCCCAGGGAATTCCTGAACTAGAACTGGTCAGTGAAAACTCTGATGGTGAAAAGCTGGTCCCAGTCTGCCCTGGGAGAGCTACATACTCAACTCAAACCCAGCAGCAGCTGCAACACTGTGTGAAGGATTTCCCACAGACTCCCAACAACGCTTTATTGCCTTTTGCCTTTGGAACTGCTCCTTACTAGGTTCCTGCACAATACATCTCAGCTGCTGCAGTCACCTGCAGCCATGTGCAGTTCAGTATCATTTGTACTTTCCATTAGCACAGTATTTCTTCTCTGTCTTCCAGATGCTAAATAGGCTGGACCTAACACTAATGCCTCTGGTAACCAATTCAACAAGTTCCTCATGCTCAATAGGCTATTGTTCGTGGTACCACAGCCTTTGCTCACAATCTGTCAGCCTAATTTCAACTCACATAGCAGTGTCACTAAACAAGACAGCAGTTTTGGTACAAAGAAGCCTAGAACTGCAAGAACAAAACACTTCCTGACTTTCATATATGCTTCATAGAAAATGAACAACATCAATTTTTTTGAATCAAAGAAGAAGCCTCCCAACATTAATCAGAATCAAAGTTAACGATATCACAGTGATGCTGGGAAATATATTCTAATGTGTGAGAATTATATTTCAATACTGCACGTAACAAGGTGAAATGCATTAGAAACTAGGAGATGTTAAGAGATCATCACTGCATAGTTTGTGATTAGCATATTTTGTGAATAACTTTGTAAACCGTAAGATTTTAATTTTACTTTTATCTTAAATATCATTATTAATGAAATAATGTGGTCAGCAGAGGAAAAACAACCTATTAAGCAGTAAGATTAGAATTCTGACAATTTCAGTTATCTCTTGTTTTATTTCTCTTTTTACAGCTTGGGTGCACTTGCAGTTGTGAAATCACTGACTATATCTTAAAAGTAAAAATAAACAATTTGCTGGAGTAGTCAGCACTTTACAAACCATTATGGAGTTGGTCACTCTGAGAATAGTTGTGGGTTTTTCTCCCCTATTATTTTACTTTACAGAAATACTGGCACTGATTTTGTTTTAAACTCGAAGGAAGATGTGAACAAATTAGGTTCCCAAATGCCTATAAACTGACTTTCACTTAGCCCTGAGGTCTCCCTGAGGTTTGTTTTTAAGACATGCTCAATTTTCAGTCACAGTTCTGTTCAATACTCTACATGCTGAGAAAAGAAGAGACATCCTTTTCTTTAATCATTCAAGCTGAAATTTTTAATTATATTTGCTTTACAGAGTAATGTTTAGTGCAATGTTCTCAAAGTGCAAGTAGTAAAAAGGGTCAATGACACGTTTCAAGTTTCTATAAAAGTCAGGGAAAAAAACATGGTACTATTTATTAATCATGCAACACACACTTAGTCCTCATAAAATATTAACATATATTGCTTCCTACATCAATAGTAAGTATACTTTACACAAAGAAAGAAAACCTGTTTAAGAAAACACTAGCTAAACTTATTATGCATTTTAACAATTATCATAAAAATGCTAGAAAAATATAGATATGTTAAGCAATCCTAAAATCTTCTTAAACCACACATTGTGCTTTCCTACAGAGAATTTTAAGATGAAAAATAGACCTTGAGGGTCTTAGACAAGCCTGAGGCAATATAAAGAAAAAGGTCAAACACTCCGCTAAAAAGGACCGTTATCTTCAGAACAACAACTTATCAGCCAGCTTGCAGCCCTGCTTATTTACAGTTATTGGTCCCAGAGGAAGTGCACTTCAGCGCAGGGCG